GAGCTTTTAGCACATTGTGGCTTTTCTTATTGAATTATTTAAGATATTACTGCATGATATTTTGTGTATTTAAAATATAAAGTACAAAAGCAAAGTGCACAATAAATAGCAAAACATTCCACAACGTAGCAAAATCAAAAGCCAGTATCTCTGTCATTAGTGAGGCTCTGCTGCCCTCGTGTGGCAGAATTACTTCTCTGCCAGAACCTGTGTTTTTCTCCCAGAGAGCATCTTTTCTCCCTATAGTGCCCAAACTGGCCTCAAACTCAAGGCAATCTTTCTGCCTCAGCTTCTTAAGTGCTGGATTATAGGTACAAGGCATGAGCCATCACATGTGTCTTAGAGAATATCTTTACATGTTTAGATTGATAGGGTCGATAGACAGATGAATGGAGACATGGTTAGAAGGGTAGATGGCTCAGTGGGTAGTAACACTCTTCAACCTTGAGGGTCCGAGTTTGAAACCCCAATATTCACCTAAAACTCCAGGTATGGCTGCATATGTCTGTATCTCCAGAATGATGAGACAGAGACAGGTGGATTCAAGAGTTCATTGGTGTCGGGCGGTGGTGGCGCACCCCTTTAATCCCAGCACTCAGGAAGCAGAGGCAGTCAGATCTCTGTGAGTTCAAGATCAAGCCTGGTCTACTGAGCGAGTTCCAGGACATGCTCCAAAACAATACAGAGAAACCCTGTCTCAAAAAACAAAAAACAAAACAAAACAAAAAGTTCATTGGCTAGCCAGCCTAGTTCAAACAATGAGATGCCAGTTCAGTGACTTTCTCAACCTCAATACAGCGGAGAGTGGTAGAGGGAAACACTACACTATTCTGGTTAGTTTTTGTCAACTTGACACAAACCAAGGCCAAGTGGCAAGTGGGAGTCTCAACCGAAGAGCATCTCCATCTGATTGTCTGTAGGCATATCTCGGTTAAGGATTGATGGGAGGGGTCAGCCCTCTATGGGTGGTGCCATCCCTTGGCATGTGGTTCTGGATGTATAAGATGTATAAGAAAGCAGGCAGAGCCATGGGGAGCAAGCCATCGAGCAGCACCCTCCCTGACTTCTGCTTAACTTCCTGCCTCCAGGTGTGTGCCTTGAGTACCTGCTGTGACTTTCCTCAAAGATGGGGTAACCCATAAGTCAAACAAACCCTTTCATTGCCAACCTGCTTTTGGTCAGTGTTTTATTTTATTTTGTTTGTTTGTTTGTTTGTTTTTTGGGACAGCATTTCTCTGTGTAGCTCTGACTGTCCTGGAACTCACTGTGTAGAGCAGGCTGGCCCCGAATTCACAGAGACCTGCGTGCCTCTGCTGGGACTGAAGGTGTGGTCAGTGTTTTATAACAGCAACAGAAAGCAAGCTAGGACACCTTCTCTGGCTTCCATATGGCGTACCCACACATTCATATGCGTGTCATATAAGAGGGCAAGAGGACAAGAGGGGGCACATTAATTCATGCATGCACTCGTTTTTTAAAAGTTTATTTTTATGTTTACATATGTGCCTGTGTGTGGATATGTGTACATGTCATGTAGGCGTTTGCAGAGCCCAGCATGCCTCCTGCCCGGAGCTGGAGTTACAGCTGGTTGTGAATCACTGAGTATGGATGCTGGGAACCAAGCTTGGATCCTCAGGAAGAATAGTAAGTGTTCTTAACTGCTGGGCCATGGAGGGATTCATTTTGTAAGTAATGAGATTGAATTGTTTTTCTAAGCACTGGACCAAGTGAGGGTTGGAAGTGATTTTTGAGGTCTAGGGTGTGAAAAACTGCAATGGTATGGAGTAAGTAGGGCGACAGTGGGAACTTTGTGGCCTGCTTGTACCAGGAGGCTATGACATGGTCACTATGCAGTGTGTGATGATGGAGAAGGCTCTCCTGGGTCTGGGTGAGCTTCTTCCTCTAGAGAGACACGTGTTTCTGGCTAACCAGTTTACTCCAGTCTATTGGGCTAAGAGGAGGAATAAAATACAGTAAATGAGAATTTGAGATGTGCTGTGTCCATCAAAGAAGGATAGTAAGGAAAAGGAGACAGCAGCAGAGAGCAGGCAGAACCCTTCATGACTCCCCAAAACCCAAGTAGAATGGTTTAGCACGTGCCACGGCTGTGTGTGTGTGTGCGCGCGCGCGCGCGCACACACACACACACACACACACACACACTCACACGCGCGCGCGAATTCACACATGTGGTCGTGCACATGGAGACCAAAGGGCACCGTCAGGTGTCTTTCTCAATTACCCTCAGCCTTATTTGCTGAGACAGGGTCTCTCACTGAGCCTGGAGCTGTGGGATTTGTCTAGACTGGCTGGCTAGCAAGCTCCAGGAACCTCCTGTCTTCACCTCCCCTCTGCTGGGGTTATGGGCACTGAGTTACCACACCTGGCTCTTTACATATATGCTGAGGATCAGAACAAAGGTCTCATGTTCACATGGTAAGCCCTTTACCAGATGAGCCTCTCCCCTAGCCCCCGGTTGCACACTATTCTAACCAACAAAGATGGCTTACTTGGTTTAGTTTGTTCAGACTGTTGTACAAATAACACCATAGATCAGGTGGTTTAAACAGCAATTTATTTCAAATATTGGGAGGTCCAGAATTTGATTTGATGTTTGGTGGAAGCCTGCTTCTTCACAGATGACTCTTTGCCATATTCTTACACAGAATCTCTGGGGTCTCTGTTTTAGGGTACTAATCTCTCTCTTGAAGGTTCCACCCCATGACCTAGTCATCTCTCAAAAGCTCCACCCTGTCTCATCATGGTGAAGGTTAGGATTTCAACATGGGAATGGGGAGGAGTGAGGGCCTTTGGTCCATATCCTCTTTGCACTTGACTGTCTCTGTGTTGCAAGCTATGGTTATCTTGGAACCTAAATTCTCCCCCTGAATTTGTTATAGAATTTATATCACAGTGTGTATATTATGTTACTGCTTTTGTTACATATTCCAAGTTGCTTTCCAAACAGTCCCAACTGTTTGATTCCAGCATGCTGCTATATTTGGGTTGAGCACTGCTGGAGTGCCTCGAAGACTCACGAACCAAGACTGAAACAGTACCATGCAAGCTGTCACGACTTTGTCACCTCTTACTCATCCCCTGACTCAGCATGGTCTGGCTTCTCCCCAAACCACTTTACTAAAATTGTTTCTGTCAAGGGCTTGTAGCTAAAGCTAGCCCTAACTCTCTGTCTCTGTCTCTCTGTCTCTCTCTCGTGTGTGTGTATGTCTTCTCTCTCATCTGTCTTTTCAGAAGCATCTAAGACCCCTCCCTCTTTTGGTCTCTTCACCACCACCACTCCCTTCTGGACACCTCTGCACTTACTCCATTGTGCTCTCTCTAGCCTGCATCTTTCCATCCTAGGACCGTGGTCTACTCCATCTGCAGACTCTTCTTGATCTGTCTCAGACAGCCCCGCTTCCAGATACTCACGCCTTACATAACTCAGCCTCCACCTCAGCCTGGCCCACATCCAACTCCTCTCTGGATAGACCGACTCTGGCTGCCAGTCCCAAACTCACTTTGCCGTAGTATTGAGCATAAAATTCTTTATTCTCTTCCATAGGTACCCACATTCCCCATTTCAGTAAATGTACATCGAATACCTAAACAATCTACCAGAAATCTGGGCACCATCTCATATTCTCTCTTCCTCTACATTTAAACAATCCCCTAATCTTTGTTTGAGACGGGGTCTCGTGTGACCTAGGTTGGCCTTCAACTCTTGATTCTATCTCCATATCTCTCAGCATGATCTTACTGATTTTAACTCTAAACATCTCTTAGATATGTCCATATGTTCTGTGTCTTCTGCTACCAGAACTCCAGGTCCCCAGCAGTGTCCCCAAATCTCCTAACTGGAGTCTTGCCTTCAGCATCTTCCGGTCTCTGCAAGGAAACTAAGCTTTCTACAGTACTCATCTAATCCCAACTTTCTTAATCGGGACCTTGCAGCATCTCCCAGACTAAAATCTAAGTTCCTTGTTTATGAGCCAGAGATGTGGCCACATGGGAAAGAAGGACAGTTCTACAGATTTTAACTCATAAATAGAATTGAGTAGCCACATGACTATTACTCCAAGAAGTGCTCTCACTGAGACTGGGGAGCAGCTCAATCAGCAGAGTGCCTGCCTTACTTGGACGAAGCCTGTTCAATCCCCCGAACCTCAGAAACCATACATGATGGCACTTGTTAATCTCAGGGCTTGGGAGGTGGAGGCAGAAGTATCATTAGTTCAAGGTCATCTTTGGGTGCAGTACAGTTCCAGGCCCATCTGGGACAGAGAAGACCTTGACTAATTCTCTTATGCTATCCGTTTGTAATTGCATGTTTCTGCATCGACTCTAACTCTTAATTGTCAAAGAACGGGCTGTAACCCCGAGTGGTGGTGCATGCCTTTAATCCCAGCGCCCACAGTTTGGGAAGCAGAGGCTGGGAGGGGGTTCCTCTCTAATTTAGAGGCCAGGCTGATTTACAACGCTAGTTCCAGTTCCAGGTCAGCCAGTACTGTTACACAGAGAAACCCTGTCTTGCAAAACCAAAAAGAAAGAAATGGGACGTACCGGATGTAATTGTTACAAATCAAAACGACAACCAAAACCCCTTAAAGGTATCTGCCATGTCCCTACCTCTTCCTCCCATTCATCTCCACCACCCCACCCCCGCAACCAATCATGCAACTAGCCTGGACCACCTTGCTCTTGGTGCACTCTAAGCCTTCCTGCAATTGACTCCTCACTTCTGTCTCCTTTGGGGCAGACTGGGGGTCCTGCAGAGATTCCCATCACAGTTGGCTCCGTGTAATCTCCAGGTCATCTCTTCCATTAGACACCTACTTCTGTGCAACAGCTGTGTTTTCAACCGGGGAGTGTCATGGCATGCCACTCGCCGAGCTTCTCCAGCCTCTACCCTAATCGCCTGTATCAGCTGATCGCCATCGAGCCATTCCTAGTCCCTGCTGAGTCTCGGCACGCATGCGCAACTCGCACGCGGCCGCCCCGCCCCCACCCTTTCACTGGGGCAACCGTTGCAGGGCGCCCGGGCCCTGGCGTGGGACGGTAGGCCGCTGACATCCCCCCGGCTTTGGGCCCTAGGTACCCCGGCCTGGTGGCCCCAGGACGTTCCCGTCGGATGGCGGAGTGCTGTGAACGGCGCCCATGAAGCCCGTTGTCCTAGTTGTGCTGTGGCTATGGCCTTCGTCCCTGCTGGCGTATCCGAGTGAGTGATGGGCCGGGGTCGAGATCCAGGGGTTTCCTCTCCCTGCACCTTCCTGTTCTCTATCCCAGATGCGGGCCTGGGTGCCAGGTGTGTCACTTAGTCCTCATCCTGCTTTGCCCATTGTTCCCTGGATGCTCAGCTGAGCTCGGTGTGACTCCTCCTTAGGCCCGAGGACTCCCTTTAGGTGACACAAAACGTGACAGATTGCAGCCTGGGCTCAAACACTTCGTGTTTTGTTGGAATGCAACCGCAGTCATTATTGGCCATGACTGCTTTCCTGCATGAGAAGGACTTGCTGCACAATACTGTCTTGCAATGTCTGATATGTTTACTGGGTGGCCGGCCCCTGTAGTAAAATCTGAAGAGAGTGTGTGTTGAGGGGAGGGGTGTGTCTCCTTCTGCGTTTCTGGAAGGCAAGAATTCAGCCCAAAGATGCCAACAGTAAATAGAAGTGTATTAAGCAAAACACAGCACTCGAGAGAGGCTGGAATGGGCTATCTCCAAAAGGGCATAGCAGCGCAGTGGGGTCTGAATTGTGGATTTAAAATACGTTTTATGAATATTTATGAGGTAGATGGTATATTCATAGAGTATGGTTTCGTCTCCAGTCACGGTAAATGGGATCTCTCTTTTAGAATATTTCTTCCTAGTTGTTCCTTTGGTCCATTTTATCTTTTGAGATAGGGTCTCGTGAAACCCTGGCTGATCTTGAACTCACTACATAGCCAACACTGACCTTGAACTTCCGATATTCCTGACTTTACTTCTCTAGTGCCAATTATTACAGGTGTGTACCCCTACACCCCGCTAACGCAGCACTGGGGACCCGACTCAAGTTTTCATGTGTACTAGGCAAGCTCTCTCCCCCACCAAGCTTTGTGTTCAGCCTTCAAGTTTCTTTAAACGATGGCAACTCGTTTCCAAGAATCACTTTGCAAGCAATTGCGGATGTCCTACGGGAAGGACATTGGCAAGTCTTCTGTGTGGGAAGACTTGAGCCTAAGAACATAAAAAAAAGTGTGCAAAGATATTAAATTAGATTTTTTAAAGCCAGAATGCTGATTAATATGAATATAAGAACTTGTGTATCCATCAGCAAAAGCCACATTTTTTCAGAATTAATAGTAAAAAGTTGGAGAAACGCTGCTGGATGAAGAAGAAAGTGGTTCCTTTTGCATTCATTCTGAGATTATTTCAGTCATGAAGCTCAGCACCCTGGTTAGTTAGAGTTGGAAATACATCAGCTCAGTTATTTTTAAGTTTTTTTTTTCCTTTCAGGCACAAGTTCATGCAGCACTTAACCCCCATAGAACTCAGGAAGTCTGTTTTCTGTGAGTCCACTGCATGACGTGTATAGGAAAATACAAGCAACTTGTTCTCCGAGGTTATGGACTTGGGGCCAGTTTGGCTCATTAGTGAGGATTGGATGCTTAGGTTTAAGTCTTGTGTAGGAGTTCTTTATACGATAAGGCTAACCTATGTTTTTGGGCTTGGAGTTGTAAGAATCTTTTAATAATTAGCATATAAAACTTTGGTTAGATTTTGAGTGTGTCATCCACAGTGTCTGTGTCAAGCCTGGCAGGACCAAGTAAAGATGTATGAGTTCATTGTGTGTGTGTGTGTGTGTGTGTGTGTGTGTGTGTGTGTATGTGTGTGTATGTGTGCACGCGCGCACACGCGTGCTTATCATTAGAAAGAAACCTGTTCTAGTTTGCTTTCTATTGCTGTGATAAACACTATGACCAAAAGTAATTTTAGGGAGGAAAGGGTTTATATCATATATAGCTCACAGTCAACTCATCACGAAGGGAAGTTAGGGCAGGAACTCAAGGCAGGAACTGAAGCAGGAGAAGCCATGGAGGATGCTGATTACTGGCCTGTTCACCCTGCTTTCTTATAGCACCAGGACTGCCAGCTGAAAGATGGAACCACCCACAGTAGCTGGTCCCTTTCACATCAGTCATTAATCAAGGAAGTGTTTGATGGGCTTGCCCACGTGCAAATCTTATGGGGGCATTTTCTCAATTGAGGTTCCTTTTTCCCAGATGACTCTAGCTTGTCAAGTTGACCAAAACCAGCCAGGACAAAAGCATTACCCCCTTCCATGTCCCTGTAAGTATTCACAGCACACTTGCCTTCAGTATTTCCTTTTCGTGTGGCAGAAGCATCATCAGATTCCCAGATGACCTTGCTTCAGCTGTCAGGCAGCAGGAAAACTCGAGAGGACAGTGACTTGTACATGCCTTCTCTCTTCTTCTCTCTCTTAATCTCTCTCTTTTTCCTGGTATTCCAGGATTCCTCCTTTTATCATTCCCATTCTGTTTGGAGAAATACATCTATTATTCCATTTCATTTTTATTTTTAGTGTGTGCTATGGATGCCACAGCCTGTGCGTGAGGCCACAAGACAACTTTATGGAGTTGGTTCTCTTCTTTTAAACTTCCTTGGATGACCATGGACTTCGAACTTGGGTTGCCAGATACCTTTACCGACTGAGCAACCTTGCCAGTCCTGGGGAACTACATTTAGCCATTTTTCTTGTAGGCTTTTGATCACTTCTCTTGTTTTCTCCTTGGTTGTCCTTTTATCCCCAAGAGGTCTTTTCCTGGGATGTGGGATTCTGGGTTGATTATTCCCCTTTCTACTTTGCTTGCACTCATAAAATATGTAATATTTCCTTCCAACCTGATGACTTAGATTAGAATTAAACTTGGTATTCAGTTTTCCCCAAATGTAAGTCGCTTGTCTCTTGCTTTATGTATGAGTGTGTTGTATATACTTGTCAGTGTATGTGTGCATATGTGCATGTGGGCATGTATACCCCTGTGTGTGGAGTGGAGGTGGAGTCAAGTGTCTGTCCTTGCTCACTCTCCATATTTGTTAACATTAAAGTTTTAATTTATATATTTTGTTGGGTACATGTGAGTCTTTTGCTTGCATGTGTGTATGTATACCATGTGACTTCCTGGTACCTATGGAGGTCAGAAGAGGATGTTAGATTTAGAGCTACTAGAGTTGTGGATGGTGGAGAACCACTATGTGGGTTCTGGGAACCTAACCTGGTCTTCTACGAGAGTAACAAGGGACTCTGGTCATTTCTTCTGCTTTTTCCTTTGTCCAGATTGTTCCATCAGCCTGTCTCACTGCTCACCAAATCTTCTCCCATTCCATCTTTGAGATGTTTTCATGTTCACTGTCATGTTTTTCATATATGTAAATTCTAAGACTTTATTGTGGTTCGTTTTTTAAGACTTCTATTTCTTTCTGGGATTCTACTATTTTTCATTTGTTTCAAGCTTGTTTATTGATGCTTTTGTTGTTGCTGTTGTTGAGATAGGGTCTCATCTAGCCTATTCTGGCCTCAAATGCAATATGTAGCCAAAAATGACCTTGGTTGTTGGTCCTCTTGGTCCTCTTGCCTCTGCCTCCAAGTGCTGGGAGTACAGGCATGCATTAGCATGCCCTGTTTTTGTTTTTGTTTTTTATGTGTGTGTGTGTTTTGTTTTGTTGTTTGTTTGTTAAGACAGGGTTTCTCTGTGTAGTCTTGGCAGCCATGGAATTCACTGTGTAGACTAGCCTGGCCTGGAATTCATAGAGATCTGCTTGATTCTGCCTTGACAGTGCTGGGATCAAAGGCATATGCCATCACCACCCAGCAACATATCCTGTTTTTATTTGTTTGTTTGTTTGGTTGGTTTTGGTTTTTCTAGACAGGATTTCTCTGTATTGCTTTGGAAGTTGTCCTGGAACTTGCTCTGTAGATCAGGCTGTCCTGGAACTCACAGAGATCCACCTGCCTCAGCCTCCTAAGTGCTGGGGTTAAAGGTGTACGCCACCAACACCTGGCCATGCCCCCCCTTTTTTTGTTTTGTTTTGTTTTGTTTTTTTAATGCAGTACTGAGGATCAAACCCAGGGCTTCATGCATGCTAGGAAAACATACCAACTGACCCACCACTCCTATTTAAAACATTTATTTTTAATTTTACGTGTAAGAGTGTTTGCCTGCAATTATGCATACCCTCAGGATGCCAGAGGGGCTATTGGATCCCCTGGATCTGGAGTTAGGTTGTGAGTCGCCATGCGGGTGTTGTGAACAGGACCTGGGTCTTCCACAAGAGCAGCTGTAGAGGGAGCCTTTTCTCCATCTAGTCAGGTCCCACTGGACCAACTTCTCTCCACCCTCCATGTCCTCACAGTTGCTTGTGAAATAACCACTCTGAGGTTCAAAAACTATTTTAAATTGTTTGACCAATGGCTTAGGCTTCTTCTTGGCTATATCTACCTATTAACTCATTTCGATTAATCTGTGTATCACCATGTGGCTGTGGCTTACATAGGTGATGCCCTGACATCCTGGCTCCCCAGAGGCTACATGACATCTCCTTGACCCTGCCTATTACCTCTCTCTATCCCCGTTTAAATTTCCTGCCTGATTTTACTCTGTTAAGCATTGGCCAAAACAGCTTTATTCATTAACCAATTAGAGAAACACATAGTCACAGAATACAGAATGACATTCTCCATCAAGCAGCAAGTGTTTTTAACTGCTAAGCTATTTCCAGGCACCTCACCCTGAAAAAAAATCTGCACATATTTGGGTTTCTGAGTTTCTAGATTCTTCTCCCTTTGTGGGTCATATGTAACCCAGAGACCACCATTTTCTCTCCTGAAGTTCTTACTTGGTCAGCTTTCTTCTCCCTACATTTTAATTTCTTCTCAAGTATGTGTTAGGTACAACTGCACAGGTATTGAGACAGACCACCCGATAGTTCCCTTGAGGAGGGCATCAAGGAATTATAGGATGGTCTCACCTTTTCACTGTATCCAGACCTCCGTTTACAGTGCTCTGCAGGGTGTTACTTCTCAGGCTGTATAAAGGTCTTAGGAAAGGAGAGAGCTTTCTGAGTGATCCTTGGGTACCAGACATCATCTAAATTATGCGGATAGAGTTTGATCAGAGTAGAGACTTAGAAAACAGCAAGAAACTTAGAATGTAAATGAACTCACAGTTTTCAGGATTTTCTTAAGTAACTTCTTAGCTTAATAGATACTCAGCAAGTGCTATTTTACAGCAACTTTCTTTTTAGTTCAGAAGCCATTTGGTGCTATACTTATAGCTGTTTTCTTTTCTCTTCTTTTTCTTTTTGAGATAGGGGTTCTCTATGTAACAACCCTGTGTGTTCTGTAGACCAGGCTGACCTTGAATTCAAAGCCTCTGTTCCCGAGTGCTGGAATTAAAGGCATGTGCCACAATGCCTGGCTACTTTTTTTTTTCTCTTTTAAACATTTGTAGGTAAGGACTAGTAAGAAGGCTCAGAGGATAAGGGCACTTGCCACACATGTCTGGCTACCCGAGTTTTATCCTTGGAAGTCACATGATGGAAAGAGAGAACTGACTCCACAAAGTTGTCCTCTGACCTCTATCTACACAAGTGCCTCCACCCCCACACATGTAATGTACATATATACTTAACAGTAGTAATGATGATGATGATGATGATAATTTTACAAGTTTGTAGACAAACATACATTATTAACTAAATTTTTTTAGTTTATAGGTTCATAATTAAAAATATCAGAGCTGGATGTTGGTGGCACATGCCTTTAATCCCAGCACTCAAGAGGCAGAGGCAGGTGAATCTCTGTGAGTTCAAGGCCAGCCTGGTCTACAGAGTGAGTGCCAGGACAGGTTCCAAAGCAATACAGAGAAACCTGTCTCGAAAAACCAAATAAAAAATTTTTAAATGCCAAGTTAATGTTAAAAAAAAATGTAATTCCTATTACAGATTATCGGAAAATTAGAACAGTTAAAAACTATAGAAGCCGCAAGTGAAGGAGTACACCTTTATTCCCGGGTCAAATTGAGTTCCAGGCCTGCCTGGTCTACACAATGAGTTCCAGGACAGCCAGGGCCATTGTACATAGACCCTGTTTCAAACAAACAAACAAACAAACAAGCAAATAAAATCATAAAAACTGTAGATAGCTTATTTTAGTGGAGAAATTTGTAGGTTTTTGTAATTCTATGATGTGTATATTTTGTTTTGCTGTTTTCTGTGACATTATTTGGTCTGTAATATTTTTCAAGTGAAATTTCATACTCTCTCTGTTTTCCAATGCAGTTCTTATTTCAGCTGTTGTACAAAACTCCAGAATCTGGCTAGATTCAATGCATTTGCTTCCTACTTTTGCATTCTGTAAAAAGAAAAAAGCACACAATTATCATACAAATGGAAGATGCACAAAGACAAAGGTTTTTTTTTTAAAGTTAAGTTTAACTGGTGTCTCACTTCTATAATGCCAGCACTTGGGAAGTGGCAGACTGATAGGTGTTCAAGGCCATCCTTGGCTAAACAGTTCAGAATAGCATGGGCTCCTGTCTCAAGGGGAAAGCGGTACAAAGAAAGCAGAAAACACAACTCCTGAAGTAGAAATAATACCTACTGATAAACCTGTGTTTTATATACTTTAGTTCTTTTAAAACTAGTACATATTAATTATACAGAGTAATGAAATCCATTGTAGCAATTTTTTTTTGTTTTGTTTTTACTAGACAGGGTTTCTCTGTATTGTTTTGGAGGCTATCGGTCCAGCCCGGCCTCGAACTCACAGAGATCCGCCTGCCGCTGCCTCCCGAGTGCTGGGATTAAAGGCATGAGCCACCACCGACCGACTCCATTGTAGCAATTTTAACATATACATAACAGGTTTTTTTTTTTGTTGCTTTATCTATATGGTCATGTCTAGTTACTATAATGTAAAAGAGTCACAAGCATGACTTTTTTAAATACATAAGAGACACAGTCACAAGTGTTCTGACTGCCCCACAAATCTATAATTAACATCCTTGACTGACTAACATTCAAATCAGTAATCAGATCAGGAGGCTGGGGATATAGTCCAGTGGCAGAACGCTCCTGGGATACAGGAGGCTCCTGGTTCAGTTCCCAGCATGGCATATGTACAGCCCAGACTACCTCATAAGCATGATATTTTAGTGCATATGGATAGTTTAGCTCTAGTACAGAAAGCTAAGTGACTAGGATTTCTGAGTTTACATTACTTTATATTTATATTATATTTCGAGATTGGGTTTATCTCGAAAGACCTGCTCGAGTTTTGCTCAGGATAAACTCAAAGGTAATGAACCTCCTTTACCTTTGTGTGGCATGTATGTCTTCTGTAAGTGACTGTGTTGTCAGTCCCCAGTCAGATCCTGTAGAAACAAAATATTCTATGTAGACGCCCCTCAGTGTCTATAGATAGCTCTTATGTACAAAGAGAGCAGTTTTTACAGTAGAGTGAATTTTTGTAGTATTTATTTATTTATTGCATATGTATCTTTAAGTATTTTGGTACAGCTAAATAGGAGAAGAGTCTGTATCTTTTATGGTACTTTACTTACTTTAGCATGTGTTTTGAAATCTGACTGTTTCCACAAGATCGTGCTGTCCCATGTCCCTACTGCTTTGCCAACACCATCGTGGCATGTCTTCTGTCAACATGTGCCAGCTTTGAAGCGGTCTGTGCTCACATACCCCATCCTCGCCCATCCTTGCTCTCTCTCTCCCCCCCTTTCTCCTCTCTCTCTCTCTCTCTCTCTCTCTCTCTCTCTCTCTCTCTCTCTCTCTCTCTCTCTCTCTCTCGTGTTTGAGATAGAGTTTCTCCAGTCCTGGCTGTCCTGGAACACACTCTATAGACCAAACTGTCTTTGAACTCAGAGATCCTCCTGCCTCTGCCTCCCAAGTGTTGGGATTAAAGGCGTGCGCCACCATACCTAGCTTCTTTTTCCTCTTTACCAAAATACCACTCATATGGCACCTGCACATGCTAATGGCTTAATGAATGGGAGTGATTGCAATCTTTTTAATTACTGTCTCCCAGTGCACCCTTCAGAATTTCAGCTATTTTCATTCCTACAGTTGTTAGCATTGCTTGGCTTTTGTCTCTGTCATGTGATCAGTTTTCCTGTTCTATTTTAAAAACTGCAGAAAACTCAAGCTCAGCTGACATTCTCAGAGCTGAGACTCCAGCAGAACCCCAGGTTCCCAGGCTGCTTAGCAGACACCCTGGAGCAGTATCCTGAGTATCCTGAGATCTTACACAGCAGGAATCTGTGTATGTGTGTGTGTGTGTGTGTGTGTGTGAATGTATAGTTGGATTTTTCTTTGGGTCGTCAGCTCACAAGCAATGACACAGAGACATTATTATTTTTGAAAGCTTAGCCTTAAATTGGTCTCACTATCTCTTATCTTAAATTTATCTGTCTTTATTAATCTACATTTTACCATGTGACTTTTTATCTTCCATTTTGTATGTCTGACTCCCTCCACATCTCGTTGGTGTCTCCTGTGTGCCTAGATTCTCCTTCTCTTCCTTTCCCTAGAAATCCTGCCTATACCACCTGCCTAGCTATTGGCCATTCAGTTTTTTATTACACAAATCACAGCAAATACATCTTCACACAGTGTGCAAATATCCTACAACTTGCACATTCACATGTGTGTCTGTGAATGGCTTTGTAATGTACCAGTGGGCATGCTCTATGGAGGCCAGAAGTCGACATCAGGTGTCTTCTTTTAATTTTCTTCACCTTATTTTCCTTGAGACAGGGTCTCTCCCTTAACCCAGAGCTCACTGATTTGCAGGTTCAGCTGGTGGCAAGTCACAGGGATATTCCTATCTCCACCTCCGAGGGCCAAGAGGATACCACCACATCAGCTTATATGGGTAACTGGGAATCTGAACTCTGGTCCTCGAGCTTGTGAGGCAAGCACTTTTTTATCTACTGCTCTGTTTCCACAGCATTACAGGGCTTCGTAACTTTAGCCATGGTCTGGGGCATGCTGTTAGCTTAGATAAAATATCCAAGTGGCAGGCTGGGTGGTGGCGGCTCACACCTTTAATCCCAGTACTCAGGAGGCAGAGGCAGGCGGATCTCTGTGAGTTCGAGACCAGCCTGGTCTACAAGAGCTAGTTCCAGGACAGCCTCCAAAGCCACAGGGAAACCTTGCCTTGAAACCTTCCCCCCACCAAAAAAAAAAAAAAAGATATTCAAGTGGCAAAAATAGCAACTATGTTGTATTGGGATAGACCACAGGAAATAGTCCAGGTGTAGTAAGTGGCCCACCTTCTAGTGGGTTGGCCTGTTCCTTGAAAGAATTAGAAATTTATTCAAATTTTAGAACTTCCTGTAGAGTGGAGAAAAACAGGATTTCATGGTGGCTAGGGTTGTCTGTAAGGACATTGGAAGTGATCCTTCTACTTTCTTGCCTGCAAACATTTTTACAGGGCTCAAACTGATTTGCAAGAATGGCCCTGATTAGTGGTACCTGGAAGGCCAGTCTGAAATGCATAGATGTGTTAGAAGGGCAAAAACAAGAGGTAGGAAATATTCAGGGAGGGGTTGGATTCAAGAATAGAATGATCCAGAGACCCAAGGGTACATTTGCAAGGAAGAAAAGCAAGGTAGGAGGTAGGGTGCCTCTGTTGCTAGGCAACCACAAACAGGCTTTTTGGTGTTTCCAGAGTAACCGCAGAGGAGAATAATGCGTACTTGAGATGTTTTTAGAAATCACATCCAGTGAGCACCTCCTTTTCCTGTCCTTTGGCTTCCTAACTTATTTAATAGCTACCTGGATACCCCATTTGCTAGTCTAAGACAAGCTAATTTACTGAAATCAAGAGCACCCTAGACTAATTTCAAGGCAGTGTCCTCTGCAAAACCATTCTGCCTATCTTTTGACTGCGCATTTTAGATTGGTCATGGTTAACTCAACTGTTTGCTTCTAGTTGCCTAAAACAGAAAATTTCTCAAAAATTTTAGAAACAACCTTTTTTTTTTAGAAAAATGAAATACACAAATAGAAATAGTGTTACAAAGGCTCCATCTATAATAGACCCTTTGATTAGTCTTGCATCATTAATATATCAGACCCTTTGATTAGTCTTGCATCATTAATATATCAGACCCTTTGATTAATCTTGCATCATTAATATATCCACTCACATTCCTTCTCTCCTAGCATCCCTGCTCCTCCTCCAAAATTCTTGGCCTAAGTTTATTTAGAAGCAAAAGCAAATTATAGACATTGTATAATTCTACTAGTAAGCAGTTTAGGATGGGTCACGAAAGTGTAAGGATGTAAAGGAATGTTACCACAGTGCAATCATATCTAAGAGATAACACTCAAGGGCTAGCGGGATGGCTCAGTCACTATATTCAGCACACCCCCACACTTAATAAAAAGACAGCTAAGAAAACTCCTGTTTCTTTTTCAATAAATTAAAGGTGACAGAGAGGAAGCACTATCTGAGTACCAAATTTATTACATGAACAGAAAATAATGCAACAATCAGAAAAATTCAAGCAGTGATCAGATATTTGAATTATTAGCTTTAGTGTGTGTGTTGAGGGGGGAGTTGTTCTGAGGCCCAAACTCTTGTCCTGGCAAAGGGAGTTGCTGAGACAGCTCTCCACTGCCAATATTTTATTTCAATTGTTTTATTCAAGATAAAAGAACAGAGTATTTTTTTATTTAAAAAATATATTGAGGAAAATACCTCAAATCATGCTACCGTAAAGTGGAAGGTCCAAGACCAGCATGGGCGTTTCAGTTTCTCCAAATTGGTCCGTTTTAGCCCAGCAGTGGTGGCGCACGCCTTTAATCCCAGCACTCGGCATGCAGAGGCAGTCAGACCTCTGTGAGTTTGAGACCAGCCTGATCTACAAGAGCTACTTTTAGGACAGGCTCCAAAGCCACAGAGAAACCCTGCCTAGAAAGAAAAAAAAAAAAGAAGATTGGTTTGTTTTTATTTTACTCAGTCTTTCCCTACACGAAAACTCAAGACTCACAGCAAATACATTATTTTTATTTTGTCAGTAAAAAAAATCAATAAAAGAGAAGAAGGAATTACTTAAAACTTTTAATACAGGACTGGGGAGTAGCTCAGCTGGTGGAGTGGTCACCATGAAATCATGAGGACCTGAGTTTGACTCCTACGTAAAGACAAAGGCCATATGATGGGTGCCTACTGATAGTCCCTGAGCTGCTGGAGCGGCAGAGACAGGAGGATCCCTAGAGCCACTGAGAGACACTGGCTCACAAAATAAGGTGGAGAGCAATTGAGGAAGACACCCAGTGTTAACCTCTGGGATTAGAAGTGTGTGCTGCCACCACCACCCAGCCAGAAAATTAAATTTTGAATTGTGTTTACCTAGCATCTGACTCCTAAAAATTTAATAATTGACTCTGGTGAGCCAATATTAGCCCATCATAGTACCTTGAAGGGTTAGACAACATGATCAAGGATTTTGGTTTAATAAATTGCCTATTAATTAATAAATTATATGATTCAAGCATATATAAAATGATGTAGAAATGGGTACCCATGGGTAACTCCTGGCCTACTCTTGCGCCTTTGCTGGTTTTCAGTGACTGCCGGCCTGGTGTTAGGGATGCTTGTTTGTGCTAGGACAGAAAGTGAGCTGGAGTTAGCAGAGTCTGTCATGAGTCTTATGTAATAAGCATTACTCACTGTGTGTTTGGTTTTGCCCCTGCAGCCATAACTGTGTTGCCTGATGAAGAGCAGAATCTGAATCATTATGTACAAGTTTTACAGAACCTGATAATGAGTGTTCCCACCAGGGACCTGGGCTCCGACAAAAAGTCAGAGGCCTCAAGTACCATGGAAGTCGCAGAACCGAGGTCGTCGCCTGTGCTGATGCATACCCCCGAAGAAGTTACCCCTGAGAACGATGTTCTGATCAGGCCCATCGACGAGGCAAAGACGACTTTCCCTACTAGCGGCTTCACGCTGGGGATAGAGAGGAAAAAAACAACAGAAAGTACAGCATTCTGGTCCATCCGGCCAAATAACATTTCTATTGTGTTACACACGGATGAACCTTATATTGAAAAAGAAGAGCCAGAGCCAGAGCCGGAGCCGGAGCCAGAACCGGAACCAGAACCCTTGTCTAAACCCTCAATGCCTGATACTGAGCTGGGGCCGGAGTCGGAGGCAGAGCCGGAGCCTGAGCTGGAACATGAGCCAGAGCCAGAGGACAGTCTAGAGTCAGACACACGGCAAAGCAGGATTCAAACGGGTACCCACAGGATGTCATCCATGATCACCCATCCATGGCTGTCAAGTACACATGTCACCGTAACAACAAAAACCACCAGCAACATGGATGTCGTCACAGACTCTGAGGACGTGCCCCAGCTCTCAGGCCAGTCGGAAACCGACAACCTCGAAGACATCCCTGGACACCGCTCCCAGAGTTTGAGACATGAGGAGATTTTGAGAAAAATTTACAATATTAACGCAGAGATTCAGCGGGGGCCTCTTGGTGACAGTAACAACCCCGAGTACAAGGAGTACATCAAGGCCTCCAGGGAGCACCTGAAACGGAGCCTGGCCCTGGCTGCAGCCGCTGAGCACAAGTTACAACAGATGTACAGATCTCGGATCTTCCCAATAGACCAGATGAGTGATTCAGCTGATGACATGGAGACGGTTATCAACGTGCTGTACAATTCCAGGTCCAAGTTGTCGGAGTATTTTAATATTAAGCATTTACCAACAGAGCTGAGAGAAAAGGCCACCGCTGTGATTAGTGTGTTGAAAAAACTATTATGTGTAGATCAGGTAGAAACGCAACGCCTCATTAGGAAGCTGTTAAGCAATAATATGAAAATCCTAAATATCCTTGATGTCCCGTGATCAAACTCATTTAAACAAAGGGCTCGTTCACAGGAAAATAAGCATATTAGTGATTTCAAAAGTTGCCTAAAATATTTTCTATTATTATTCCATGTGCTAACATCCTTATGTGTCATAAAATATTTTCATATGCACTAAAAACCTAACAATTTTAAAATAAAAATTTGCTTCATAAGCTTGTAGTTTTTTCTCATTAATTCAAGTTGTGAAGAGCTAGTCTCTAAAATGTCTAAGCTTTGCTTCTACTGACTGGATGTGTTAGCCTCACCCACTGTATGCACTTAGAGACTGCCTGCACTGTGCAATGTAGCCAGTTTTAAATAATCGCTTGCAGTCTCTAGTCCACTTTTGAACCATTTGGGTTTTCTGTATGAAGAGCACACACTCAAGGCTGGTATCAGAAACACTTTTGTTTGGATGTATGTTGCTTCCTTGGAAAGTGGGAGCTATACTGAGACATGTCTTGTTTTGCTGTCAAGCTCTTGGGTCATTATGAGGGACCCTGACCTGTATCTGTAATAAGATCCTCCTCATAATTCCCTCTCTTTGCTTGCATACAAACACATTAAGATTTACAAATCTTTTGCCACCAGTCAAGTTAGCTGTATAACGTTATAATGAAAGTGCAGTTTTGTTTCATGACTTGATCAAGTTCATTTACTTAGTACTCATTCATCAAGCCAGTTATTAATGATCAATAAATGTTTATTGACCCTCTGGTTGAATAAAATGCTAGACCTTGGGGGATAGAGTAAAGGGCTATTTCCCCCTCTGAGATTATGACAGAGAAGCTAGACACTGAACAAATGCATCTGTTTTAAATTTTCAGTTGGGACAAGCTCTTGTAGGAGGTAGCTGGTCTAACCTCATCTAGAATGTTGAGAAGAGTAGCCTCAGCAGGTGGCACCTGAGGAGAGGTCTGAGGGGTGAGATGTGCCGGGGAAGGAGAATGTTGCAGGCAGAGGAACAGCGTGTGTGAATGCTGAGCTGAAGGTGAGGGTGGCAGGGTCAGGAAGTGCCTGGAGTACAGGAAGGCCAGAGAGAACACTCCAGCGTGAAGCAGGCACATAAGGTCAGAAAACAGCTCGCAGGTCTCAAGGTGTATGTTGACTAGTTCATCTTTATCCTGTGTCGGCAAGAAGCAATCTTTGGATTTTAAGCAAAGGACCTGGTGTGATCAAGTTTGTGTCAGACTTGTGTGTTTAAAAACAACACAACACTCGGGCCATACGGTTTTAGAGGTAGGCAGAAGTAGATAGGAACTGTACATAAGCCAGATTTGGCTTGGATTAGATGGAATGAAGTGACAATTAAAAGGTAGAACAAACAGAACCATGGCTAAGCACACAGGTGTGACTGAGGGAATAAAAGTGATCAAACAAAATGTCCCATAGGGCTGTGTTGTAAAGTGATTCACTGTGTTTATTTTTAAAAATGACCTGCTATGAAAAATGTTAAGCATCTGCAAAGATGAGCAACAACACAGGAACAGTATACAGCCATCATCCAGTGTGAACAGTGATGTTCTGACGGACAGTAGTGTCTAGACCTATCCCCTCTCCCCATATCCTGTATGCTCAACTGGATCCCCAAGAATTTTATCATTTTATCTCCAGCTTGAACTGTGGGCAACTCTCTAAGCTTTTGAAAAACGGTTTTCAAATGTTTCATAACATCACGTGGTGTTAATGGTATCTAATCAATGTTTAAATTTAAAAAGTGATTAGACAATGGGAAATGTGGAGTTTCTTTGTATGAATCAGGATCAAATAAAGTTCACACATTGCTACAGCCTGGCTGGACTCAGAGTTCTCTTTTAATTGAAGAACACTTTCTACTTTTTTAAGCTTGAAATTTATTGGGAATATGGCCACTGGTACCTTCGCTTCCCAGTGTGGATCCTTCATGCATTTGGATTGTTGCTAGGTTGTTTTTGTGTCTTCTGCATTTTCTGAATTCACTTATTTCTGTGTATATGTAAGTTGATGTGGTGTGTGTGTGTGTGTGTGTGTGTGTGTGTGTGTGTGTGTGTGTGTATGGAAGCCAAAGGTTGACAAGGAGCTAGAGAGATGGGTCAACACCCATGTTGGATGGCTCAAAACCAACTGTAACTTGCTCCAAGGAATTTGATGCCGTCTTTGGGCAAACACACATACATAAATTAAAAATCATTTACAAGGAAAGGTGGAGAAATTGACACTGAAAACACTGGAGTCAAACAAATTAGAGATAAGGTCACCCATTGTGTGGGTGCAAGCATGTCTTAGATGGAGTTGGAGAGGAAGCCTCATTAAAAAGATGAGTTGAGGGAACTAGAGACCAAACATGTAAAGGCAGCATTTGAAATTCTCAACTGCCTGAGATCTGAGACAGAGAGAGGTGACAGCTATAGCTGAAAGCAAGACTCGGAGAACATGTTAGCTTTTTATTAGATAGACAAGTCACTGTCAGCAGAAGGCAAGGAGCCAGGAGAAAGAGGATGGAGATGGCCAGGAAGGGTGGAGCAGGAAGGAAGGAGAATGAATTTGCTTAAGGTGGACTGGTAGGTTTGCCAGGAAAGAAAAATAAAAAAAGGGGGGACCATTCAAGGATATACACACACCTGTGACCTCAACATTTGACAAGAAGATACAGGAGGGTTAGAAACTCAAGGTCATCTTTAGGAAGATGGGGAGGCCACCTCTGAGAGTGGGTTAAAGTATGTTTGTGCTGACGATTGTCGGAAGGATAGACTGAGTAAGGCGAGGGTTCTAGTACATCACAGACACTAAGTAGTGGCCTTGTGTCATGTGCAGCTTCAGAGAGAGCTGTGTAATTATGAGGCAGTCCATGGAAACCTCCTCCTGTCTCCAAAAGGGTTCTTGCCCTGCTCGCCTCCAAGAATGGAGCAGACAGACAGCTGAGAGCACAAACAGGAGGTATTTTATTGTCAGATTGGGATTAACAATCTAAAAGGAGATAAAATAAAACAGAGTGCTACACGGGATCTAAAACAAGACATGGGACACTTGGTGTCTGCTGAGAGCCATCACAGCTCTGAACAGTGTTGCAGCTCCAAGCTCTGGGAGGGTTTTGGGAGTGCCAAACCAGAGTGGTCTCAATCCCAGCAAGCCCACAGGCAGCAAACAGGAAGCAGCAAGGAGATGAATTCCCATCTGTGGTCGAGGAGCTGTCACCTCGCCTACAGTGGGTCAGAGCACTTATTTCCATGGAGATAATGCGCACATTGGATTAAAGCTGTGTGAAATACTGCTTCATCTGATTCATGTTTTTACTTTGACTTATTTGGTTTCAGATAATAAAAACCTAATATCTTTAAACTTCCAAATTTGTATTAAAAAGATGTTGACAAAAGCCTCTATCCCTCAGCCTAGGGGAAGTTATTTTTGTACAGCATTTTTTTTATCACTGGCATTAAAATAACTAATGAAATCTGAATTCTTTGGTCTTAACAATGTGTATCTTGGAACATTTACTTTCAGGTGATGTAGAATGGGATTTAGAAAACAACCTTTTGTTTTATGAAGGAAATGCTAACAGATTCTCTCAGGAAATCTAAGTATACTTATTAATGTATTTTTCCTTTACGGAACACATTCTACTGTTTCTACACCAGCATGTCTGCATCAGAAGTTATCATTATCCCTAGTGACTGTTATAAAGCAAATTATATAGTGCTTAGATCTATTCACTAAGTGAAGTTGCTTTTTTGTTTGTGTGGGGGTTTTTTTTTGGTTTTTTTTTTTTTTTTTAGGGGTTCGAGACTGGGGTTTCTCTGTGTAGCTTTGGAGCCTATCCTGGCACTGACTATGTAGACCAGGCTGGCCTCAAACTCACAGAGATCTGCCTGCCTCTGCCTCCAAGTGCGGGGATTAAGGGCATGTGCCACCAACACCCGGCAGCAGCGGCAGTTTGTGAGTTTTTAAAATTTTTTCTAGTCAGGGCCTCTCATGTAGCTCAGGCTGGCCATGAAGTCTTTAAATAGATGAGGATGCTCTTGAACTTCTGACCCTCCAGCCTCTACAGTCAGGTGTCATTGTGCTTAAGTCGTGCTAGGGATCAAACCCAGGGCGATGGGCATGCTAGGGAAGTGCTCTATCAGCCCCTGTTTGCTTTTTTGACCTCGGTTTTATATACAAAATAAACGAAGGATGAGGGAACTTGATAATGCAGGGGAAAGCCAGAGCTAGAAGGTGGCAGTTAGGGTTTAAATCCAGGACACTTTTCTACCAAGACAGACACCATGCTGCTCCCTGAGGCGGGACACACTTGAGTTTTAGCTTTCTATTCTTTGTTGTTTGTTTTCAAGGCTGTCCTGGAATTTGCTTTGTAGACAAGCCTAGCTTCAAAATCAGAGATCCACCTGCTCTTGCCTTGGGAATGCTGGGATTAAAAGTGTGTACCGTCACTGCCTGACAACTTTCTATTCTTCAGTCTAACGCTTTCCCAACTGAGCTTTCTAGTCTCAAATCAGCATCATGTACATCACAGTGTGTGGGGGGGGTTGTCTTAAGACAGGGTCTTACTAGGTAGCCCTAGCTGGCCTTGAACCTGCTATGTAGACCAGGCTGGCCACAAACTCACACAGATCTCCCTGACTCTGCCTTCCAAATGCTGGGATTAAAGATGTGTGCTACTGTGTCCAGCCTTTTTGTTACTTTTTGAAATAAGATCTCACTATGAGACTCAGTCTAGCCTTGAACTTGTATCCAGGCTAGCCTCAAATTCGTGATCCTCCTGCCTCTGCCTCTAGAATGCTGGGACTGCAGCCATGTGCCCACAATCCCTGGCTGAGATTTTGGTTTGAGGAGACAGTCTCTCGTTGAGGTAAATGAGGCATGGGGCATGTTAAAGTCACAGTGTTAACACACCCTCCTGGCTTTTGATTTTCTGTTGGGCACTGAGTAATCTGACTCCCTAATTAGCAGTTGTACTTTCCTGGTGTTCTGGCTGCCTTAAGCAAAGGACTGTCAGTCCAGCAGATAGCTGGACCACACTAACACCAGCACCAGCTGCTTTAAACATGTCAAAGATACCTTGAAGAAGCTACATGATAACTACAGCCGCTTGCTACTGAAGCAACCCTCTGGGAAGGTACATCCCCAGACAAGACCAGTTCAAACAGCTTGTACCAGGCCAAAGAGGAACACTTCTCTTGGTGGACTAGCAGAGGGACGCTGTGACTGGTTTAAGAGGAACAACGCCATGGGTGATATAAATCACTCTCCTGAAGCTCTGCTCTACTGACACATGATCCCATTCTGTGGCCATGTAACACACATCTGAGCTACCCCAGCTCCTGGTGTTGCAACAGGAGCCCCAATAGCAAGCTTTGGTAGAATGGTCTTTTCTCACCCACGTTTAACATCATCCATCATTAGTAGAACTGGATGAACCTGGTAAATGAAAGCAGGTGACAGCAGTGGGAGGGCTTTTACATTGTGAAAGTGACGAGCCAGACAAAGCTGTTGGCATTCACAGCTGCAGCAGGAGAGGAGCTGTGAAGCAGCAGCAGAACCGCAGGGTGGAGAGGCGACAGAAGCTAGCCGCAGAGCAGTACTCGGCAATGAGACTGACTAAAGTGGCAGGGTAGCAGTGACTCTGTCACCCAGTGATGGCCGCCACAACGGTGGCCCTAACGACAAGACACAGCTGAGCAGTTCAGAACAGAGAGCAGGGTAGGAGCAAGAAGAATGTTGGAGCCCAGCAGTGATGGCACACGCCTTTAATCCCAGCATCCAGAAGGCAGAGGCAGGCAGATCTCTGTGAGTTCAAAACCAGCCTGGTCTACAGAGTGAGTTCCAGGACAGCCAGGGCTGTTAAACCTTGAAAGAAATGTTGGAAGTAGGGAATGGGGGAGATGGCTTGGCTGGTAATGTGTGTGCCTCATAAACACAAGGATTTGATTTTAAAATATTTAAAAATGTATTCTCTGACACTGTCATACTGGTATTTGGTGGCATTTCTGAGGATGATAGTCCAAGCTGTCCTTGGTCCTTCACCTGTACACCTGTACACCTGTATACATACAAATATGCACACAGCATTCTACACGCTCGCATGTATACACACATGTGCATTTTCTTAAAATGACAAGGTAAGAGAGGGCACAGAGCTGGCACTAGAGGAGAACAGAAGTCTTTGAAGAACCAGAGAAGAGAAACTGCAGACTCTGATGGCTAAGACCATTCCAAGAGTTTTCAAGTCTTAAGGGTCCTGGCACCGTAGGCCTAAGAGCTGTTACAATGGCTGCTACGGAGGGCCGGGAACTCCTTCACACTGTAGGCCTCAGAGTTGCAAAGGTGGTCACTGTCAAGGACTGAGGGGTTCTATCTTCCTAAGCCTATGCAGGTTCTAGTGCTTGTCACTGTAAGACCCAGTGTCCTGGGCTGCGGGAGGGCTATGGCAATAGAGGGCCCCACCCGCTGCTGCTCCTAGCTGTCTGCTGCCACTCACTGTCAGCGCCAATGGATATGAAAGCTGCCAGCACCTCAAAGGCCCTGGCTTGCTGACTGGGAACGTTGGTATGTTGCCCATGTTGCCCCAGAACTCCCACGCCGCAGTGAGCTTCCCAGCCAGCCTCCTGAGTAGCTGGAACTACAGGCACTGGCCGCCATGTCCAGGCTAAACAATACATATTTACTTATGTGTTTGTTTGCTTATTTTTCTTGAGACAGGGTCTTACTGTGTATCCCTGGCTGGCCTGGAACTAGCTATGCAAACCAGGCTGGCCTCAAACTCATAGATATGTCACAGAGATCTGCCTGCCTCTGCCTCCAGAGAATAAAAGG